GTGTATGTTACTTTGTAGAGTCATTTACAACAGCTTCGAACGCGGCTCAGCCAAGACGCGAGCGCAACAGTCAAGCACGTCCATGTTTACATAGAAAAAACAATGGAAAAGCAGGGCAACAGAATTAAAAACCTGTAAAGAACTACTACTGTATGTCTGATATTTCATGTTTGCATCATCGCCATATCGCCCAGCCCTAGACCGCACAGAATGAATAAATAAATATGAAAATTTGTACACAGATTACAGTAAAATTTGGGAAAAATAATGTGAATTTCATAGGGCTCTAAAAATGTAATTTTTGTTAAACGTTTAAAAAATGGTTGTTACATTGTATGCATTTCATGATTTCAATTAATTATTCATTTCAATTCATTTTAACTAAAAAAACTGAATTTAGAAAAAATTAAATGTATTTCATAAGTCCCTAAAAATGTAATTTTTGTTAAACCTTTAATAAATTGTTGTTAACTAGAGGGTTAATAAAGTAAAAGTTACTTGAATCATGTTGTAGTTACATTTACAAGGTGACTAGTTAAAAAACGTACAAAATCAAGAATCGGTCAAACGTACTGCAAAAAATCAAGATTTAAATTTTTTGCCATATCGCCCAGCCCTAGACCGCACAGAATGAATAAGTAAATATGTAAATTTGTACACAGATTACAGTAAAATTTGGGGAAAATAATGTGAATTTCATAGGGCCATAAAAATGTAATTTTTGTTAAACGTTCAAAAAATGGTTGTTACATTGTATGCATTTCATGATTTCAATTAATTATTCATTTCAATTAATTTTAACTAAAAAAACTGAATTTAGAAAAAATTAAATGTATTTCATAAGTCCCTAAAAATGTAATTTTTGTTAAACCTTTAATAAATTGTTGTTAACTAGAGGGTTAATAAAGTAAAAGTTACTTGAATCATGTTGTAGTTACATTTACAAGGTGACTAGTTAAAAAACGTACAAAATCAAGAATCGGTCAAACGTACTGCAAAAAATCAAGATTTAAATTTTTTGCCATATCGCCCAGCCCTAGACCGCACAGAATGAATAAGTAAATATGTAAATTTGTACACAGATTACAGTAAAATTTGGGGAAAATAATGTGAATTTCATAGGGCCATAAAAATGTAATTTTTGTTAAACGTTCAAAAAATGGTTGTTACATTGTATGCATTTCATGATTTCAATTAATTATTCATTTCAATTCATTTTAACTAAAAAAACTGAATTTAGAAAAATAAAATGGATTTCATAAGTCCCTAAAAATTAAATTTTTGTTAAACCTTTAATTGAATATATTTCATGATTCCAATTAATTAGACATGCTTTTTGATTACTAAAATTGAACCATTAAATTTGTGTTCTCAGTAAAGTCTCTCTGGTTGTCACAGGTCCGCCGCTCCCACTCACTTCATCAAGTTCTCCCCGGATGGAGAGTTTTTTGCGACCGCAGGACAGGTTTGTGTTTGTACATGTATGACGTGTGCACATTATATATGTATGAGATGCATTATATAATATGACCTCACATGTAATATGATGAGTCTGTTTGTTTATAATAAGAAAATCTCATTTCAAATCCGGTCAGTTGTGTTGGTTGGAGCATAAGTGAGTAACGATAAGCCATTTCTGCATAAAATTAATTGTTTTTGTTTTTAACCTTGCTTCTATTAAATGATGAATAAAGAATGCACATTAGGTGTATTTTTGCTTTTTATGTTTTTATTCAATTTAAATTGAATTGTAAATTATTATTATTATATATTAGGAATATTGGAATTACCTAAAATTAACGAATGTTTAGAATAATTTTTCATTGGCAGTTTGTTAACTAATGAATTAACTAATGTCAACTAATGAAGCCCTAATGTATTCTATTGTAATTGTACAATACAATCATATTTTGTACATGCAACTTGGTCTTACTGTAAATTTAAAAAAATGTCATATATTTAAACAAGTTTACAAAAGTATTTGATTTTTTATCAAATATTAAATTGAAAAATTATGTGTCATTTTTATTTATTTATGTTTCGGTTGTACAAATAATATTTTTTAATTATCGTATAGAATTTATAGAATTATTATCGTTATTAAGACTATTTTAAATCGTATTACTCGACATGAATATAATTCATGTTCAAGTTTATTCATAAAGCACATTTAATTGCTGTACAGAAATACAGTAAAAACCAGAATGAAATAGAATTTGCATTGCATGTTTAAAAATAACAAACTCATAAGACATTATCAACCATGCATATAGATCTCAAACAACATCAAAGGATATGGAGAAAAAAGTGTCTTTGATGCTGATGTAAAATGATAAATAAATCAGCAAATTTACGATCAATACAGACGCTGCATCTATTGCTTCTCCCATGCTTTCTTACTAGCTCTGGGCTTAAAAAGAGTTATGAGTTTCTCACTGAAACATGTTCGCTCAGCTCCTAAATAAGGTCTTTCTGACTTGAATGCACAGTTATTGAAGGATTGTGTTGTTGCAGGACGACTGTCTGGTGAAGGTGTGGTACAGCACCAGTAAATGGCAAGCAGACGTCACCAAACTCTTCACGCCGCTCGACCTGCGCTCCGGAGCCGAGATCAACTTCTCCTTCATTTACCTGGCTCACCCTCGCTCCGTCACCGGCTTCTCCTGGAGGAAGACCAGCAAATACATGCCCAGGTGAGTAGAGGCGTGTAGAGAGCCCTGCTGACCGCTCTGTCCCTCCGGACATTTCAAACTGATTTTTAATCTCTTGTAAAACTAGATTTGATCAAGTGGTATTTGCTAGATGTCGCATAGGTCATACAAGACTGACTCAATGCATGTTCTGCAAGATTCTCCTTTCTGTCAAACATATTTGTGATGCGAGCTAGGAAAACCCGTCGGATGTCGTGCTAGGACGTTTTCAGGAAATAAAAAAAAATAGGTGGAATGTCATTAAATTATTATTCTATAACATCTTGTCTATCATCTCTGAAAATGCACTACCGATCAAAAGTTTGGGGTCAGTGAGACTGTAATGTCATCTTTTTCCTGTATTTTTGAAAAAATAAATGCAGCTTTGATGAGCAGAAGAAACTCCTGTAAAAACATTACAAATCCTTCTGATCCCAAACTTTTGACCGGTAGTGTAACTTGGCCAAATTCACTTGTTTAGTGCGGAAAAATAGCGATTTAATTGTGGCCAGCAGAAAAGACCGTGTCTTTCTCTAGTTTGCTAACGCGCGTTGCGGAGGTGCTTTCCCTTAACTCTGCAAAGACAGTTCACCTTTCAAAATAAACTATGTAACGTATATAATAAAGGCATATCCATGCACATTTTCCGCTAGTCCTGTGTGAACTACGGCATGCAGAGTTTGGGGTAATGTTAGCTTGTCTGCTTGTGCAATGACAGAGCTCTCGTTCTTAAATGGACCAGCACCACTTTCATATTAACCCTATGCATTACTTTCATTTAGTTCAAACGGTGACAGCGTGAAATAAAACTACAAGTTTAGAACAAAAAACTATAAGTTACGGTTCTAACTGTGTCTGGTTATGTATTATAAATCCGGAGTAGTAGAGCAGGAGAAGAATTGGAGATCGCCTGCACGCTGTAATCTGTGATGTTTTATGAACAGATATACACTTAATGTATATTAGGGTCATCTTGAGCTTTTATATGGTAAACCTATAATAGGTAAATATTTTTGCATCACATTTTATTGGACTGTCCCACTTTTAATGTATGTAGAAAACTCTTTTATGAAGTGAACTCACTTAAAGATTTATTTAGTATAATTTTTATCATATGTTAATGTAAAAAATCTTGTGTAATATAACTTGTGTTTGTTTGTTTGTTTGCTGGTTTTTATTGTATTTGTTATAGGCCACTTGTATTTTTTTAATTGTTTTTGCCATGAAAACAGCTTAAGATGCTGACATGGCATTAAATAAAAATATACTACTACTTCCAGAGGCGCCGTGTGTAACGTGCTGCTGACCTGCTGCAAGGACAGCGTGTGTCGCCTGTGGGCCGAAACACTGCTGCCCAGCGACTGTCTTCTGTCTGGACTCAGACACAATCACTGCAGCAATGACGTGATGAAGAATAACAGCATGAAGAAGAGCTCCAGCAACACCCGAGCGCAGAGCCAGAACCCGCTGGAGGTGAGACCAAAAAATGATTCTCTTACTTAGTGTTTTTGTCTTGTTTTCTAGTATAAATATCTAAACATTCTTGAATCAAGATGATTCCTGGCTTCCTGGCTCCGTCTGATGGTCACGATCGCTGCATCTCGTGCCTGGGCTTTGAGCACGCCGAGGCAGCGCTCGTGGGAGATTCATGTTCTCATTGCGGGAACATGACCATCGCGATGTTACGATCGAGACTCCTCTTCATGAAACGAGGGGGAGTCCCTCTTGCTATGCCCCGATCAAGTTCCTCTGTCTCACAGCAGCGGAGGACTACTTCGGCATATGGTCAGGGTGATCTGAGGATGTGTTGTGTGTTCCTTAGGGTCATTTGTATCTTTTACAACATGTACAGTGACTAAAATAAGTCTTTAACACAGTAAAGTGACTTTTACTTGTGATACTTGACTGTTGTGCTTTTATTTTCATTGCCTCTCTTTAAACCAGTTTTTCTCAAAATTCTGTTCCTGAAAATCAGCCAACTTCAGATAACCATAACTTTTGTTACGTTCAAGCTATGGACGAAATAAAAACAGTTTTGGAAATGGCTTGAACCGAGCTTTTATATGGTAAACCTATAATAGGTAAATATTTTTGCATCACATTTTATTGGACTGTCCCACTTTTAATGTATGTAGAAAACTCTTTTATGAAGTGAACTCACTTAAAGATTTATTTAGTATAATTTTTATCATATGTTAATGTAAAAAATCTTGTGTAATATAACTTGTGTTTGTTTGTTTGTTTGCTGGTTTTTATTGTATTTGTTATAGGCCACTTGTATTTTTTTAATTGTTTTTGCCATGAAAACAGCTTAAGATGCTGACATGGCATTAAATAAAAATATACTACTACTTCCAGAGGCGCCGTGTGTAACGTGCTGCTGACCTGCTGCAAGGACAGCGTGTGTCGCCTGTGGGCCGAAACACTGCTGCCCAGCGACTGTCTTCTGTCTGGACTCAGACACAATCACTGCAGCAATGACGTGATGAAGAATAACAGCATGAAGAAGAGCTCCAGCAACACCCGAGCGCAGAGCCAGAACCCGCTGGAGGTGAGACCAAAAAATGATTCTCTTACTTAGTGTTTTTGTCTTGTTTTCTAGTATAAATATCTAAACATTCTTGAATCAAGATGATTCCTGGCTTCCTGGCTCCGTCTGATGGTCACGATCGCTGCATCTCGTGCCTGGGCTTTGAGCACGCCGAGGCAGCGCTCGTGGGAGATTCATGTTCTCATTGCGGGAACATGACCATCGCGATGTTACGATCGAGACTCCTCTTCATGAAACGAGGGGGAGTCCCTCTTGCTATGCCCCGATCAAGTTCCTCTGTCTCACAGCAGCGGAGGACTACTTCGGCATATGGTCAGGGTGATCTGAGGATTACAGTGAGGGCTTCCCCGCCGAGTGCACCTCCGCGGGCCCCCTCACTCCTCCAGCACATCGCATCCTGTGGTGTTCCGTGATGAGACTGCTGAGCCCCCGGATGCAGGGCCTAGCATCTCGTTCGGAGCCCCCCCGGCCCGAGTCAGATCCAGAGCTGACTGCTATGCTTTCCCGGGCTGCCGAGAGCGTCGGGTTGCAATGGAAACCCCCTCCATCTCCGGAGCGCTCGAGGCTGGATGATTGGTTCCTGGGGGTGCCGCACGCCGATCCTCGGCGTCCACCTCCGGTTTCATTCTTCCCGGAGGTGCATGAAGCGGTTACCAGATCTTTTTCTGCCCGAAACCGAGCTAGTGCCTCTTCCATCTTCACTACCCTCGACGGCGGGGCGGCTAAGGGGTATGTGGAGATCCCCCCCCCCCAGTCGAGCGCGCTATTGCGATGCAGCTTTGCCCGCAGAGCACTGCTGCCTGGCGGGGTAATCCACGCCTCCTGTCCAGAGCTTGTAAGTTCTCGTCCGCTCTAACAGCCAAGGCTTACAGAGCTGCTGGACAGGCTGCCTCCGCCCTGCACGCCATGGCCCTCCTGCAAGTCTACCAGGCCAAGGCGTTGAAGCAGCTGCATGAGAGTAGTTCTGACCCGGGTGTGATGCAGGAGCTGTGCACTGTGACAGACCTTGCCCTACGGGCGACGAAAGTCACGGCGCGGTCCCTGGATCAGACGATATCCACCTTGGTGGTCCAGGAGCGCCATCTTTGGCTGAACCTGGCAGATATGAGGGAGTCCGACAAACACTGCTTCCTGGACTCCCCGATCTCCCAGGCTGGCCTCTTCGGCGACGCGGTGGAGAGCTTCACCCAGCAGTTCTCCGTTGCACAGAAGCAGACAGAGGCAATTAAGCACATCCTGCCCCGGCGGCCCGCTGCTGTCAACACCCCGCCACCGGCTGAAGACCCCCGTAGATGCCCGATCGTGGTCGTGCTCTTCTTTCTGCAAGAAGGGCTGGAGCGAAGGCTGTCTCCCTCCACCCTCAAAGTGTATGTCGCCGCTATTGCCGCGCATCACGATGCAGTGAACGGCACGACTGTGGGGAAGCACAACCTGGTCATCAGGTTCCTCCTCCGCACCCCCACCTGGTACCCTCTTGTGATCTCCCCTCGGTCCTGACGGCCTTGAAGGAGGAGCCCTTCGAACCCCTGCAGTCAGTAGAGCTTAAGTTTCTGTCGCTAAAGACAGTCCTCCTCACTGCACAGGCTTCGGTCAAGAGGGTGGGGGACCTGCAGGCATTTTCGGTCTACGATACGTGCCTGGAATTCGGACCGGCCGACTCTCACATTGTCCTGAGACCCCGGCCCGGATATGTGCCCAAAGTTCCCACCACGTCTTTCAGGGATCAAGAGGGCGCTCTCTGGCGAGATCCCAATTTGTCAGTCACTGCTGATGTAACGTCTCCGTTCCCTCCTTCAGGGTACGAGGGTTATATACGTAACCAAGACGATACTTGTACTAGAAAACAAGACAAAAATACTAAGTAAGAAAATAATTTTTTGTAGTGTAAACTATGCATACATGATGCTGTTTTGTTTATAATTGTTTAAGAAACTTAATTATATTTGGTTTATGAACGTTACGCACTTTTTCACAGATAGTCATGTTAATTTATTGATTTAATAAACGTGCATTAGCAATATTTAGCTCGATGCACCTTCTTGTGGCCTCAGGAGAGAAGCCAAAAGCTTTTTTTCCCCCCTAACTGAAATTGTCTTTTAAATTCGAATATTGATAATATTTAAGTGCAAAATTTGAATTTAGTTTAGTCTAGTGTTCACTAATGAAAGAATACAGCAGCGTCTGCTTTGTGTTCCCAGCTGAAGCTGAAGCCGTCGTGGAGAGAGGAGGTGCGCTGTTTATCTCAGCTCTCATACAGCGGTCCTCTGCCCCAGCAGCAGAACAAACACAACGCCCATCGCACCAACATGTTGCACGCCAACGCACTGTGCCACTTCCACATCGCCGCCAGCATCAACCCAGCCACAGGTAACACACACCAGACCTTCAGCCTTCACATGTGACACAGACATGACCCAAAAAAACTCATGAAAATATGTAAATGTATTTTTTTTATCGTACTTAACTTGAAATAAATTGTAATAAATTGTATTTATGAAATAAAACTTCAAATACATTTAAGTATATTTATTTTTCAAAAGGGATAATAAAAGTGTAAAATTAAAATAAATTATTAAAAAAAAAGAATAAAACGCTTATTAAAATTAATTAAATCATAAATGTAAAATGTAAGTAAATAAATTAATTTTAAAATAAAAACAAATAAAAATATCAAAAATATATCAAAATATCAAAAATCAAATACAGTAGTATATGGTTTACCAAATTAGGGGTTCACGAGTTGATAAAAAGCTAAGAATAAAAATTAATAAAAACGTAAAACTAAAATAAATAAATTTTTTAAATGAAAACAAAACACAATGCTTACTAAAATGCATTAAATCATAAAAATTTATAAATTTTAATATAAAAACAAATCTAAATAAACCTCTTGAAAAAGAGGAATGTATTATATTTGTGTATCTGCATGTCATGTGACCGTTAACTGATATCAGAGAACCGTGAATGTGTGTTGTTAAATAAAAAAGTTTGGGAATCCCTGTAATAACACGTGACTAAACCTCCAGCATGATTCATAATGAATTAACTGTGTGTCGTGCTGTTTTGTTTAAATTTTTTAAATAAACCTTGAAAACAGTAAAACAGTGTTAAAGAGAGCATTTTATAATTTTTTTCCCCAGTTGTTTTTTCATAATTCTGTCAAAATTCTGTCAAGGTTCTACAGATGAGCCTTTTTGCTAATTCTGGTACATTTACAGTAATGTTCATTAATGTGCATTGCCCCTGTAAGCAAATACACTTAAACATAAACAGTGATTTTTAGAGCTTTGTGTGACAAACAGGACAAAATTTCCCCCTGCTGTCGCTCTGAAATCTCATCTCTCTGTAGCTCCCCAAACCTGCTGTTAAAGTGCATGCAGGAAGCAGTGACAGATAATGTAAGTGTGAATGTGATGGTGATGTTTGTGTGCAGACATCCCTCTGCTGCCCTCCATCTCGTCCATGAGCGGCTCTGATGAGGAGGAACCGGGCGGCCCGTTCACCGTTCACTGGCTCAACAACAAAGAGCTGCACCTGACGCTGAGCATGGAGGTGTTTCTACAGCAGCTGAGGAGCAGCGGCGAGCAGAACGGACCCACAGAGCGCTACGGTACCGTGTGCATCATCTCAGCCATATATCAGAGGGCAGGACTGATTTACGTTATGTGAGAGTGACACTAATGTGACAATTCAGAGCAGGATGTGAACCAAGATGAGGCAGAACCATTTATTAAAGGGACAGTTACATTTACTCATTTAGCAGATGCTTTTATCCAAAGCGATTTACAAATGAGGACAATAGAAGCAATCAGAATCAACAAAAGAGCAATGATATGCAAGTGCTATAACAAGTCTCAGTTAGCCTAACACAGTTTACGTAGCAAGGTTTATAATTTTTTATTATATAATAAATTGAGAAAACAGAATAGAAAAAAAGAAAGAAAACAGAATAAAGAATAGAGCAAGATAGTGTTAGAGGCCTTTTTTTGCATTTTGTTAATTGTATAATAAATAAAAAGAAAACAGATAGAATACAAAAAGATTAGAGAAGCAGTTAGTAAATTAATAGAGTCTAAAAGTCTAAAAGGGGCAAGTTTTTTTGGCAATCAAAAAGAAGTTGCAAAGAACTGGTACGTTCCCGTTTCAGTGGCAGATAAATTTGTGTGTCATCTGCATAACAGTGAAACGAAATATTATATTTCCTGAGAATAGACCCTAATGGGAGCATATACAGGGAAAACGGCATAGGGCCAAGGATAGAGCCTTGAGGGACTCCAAATGGAAGGGGTGCTGATGAGGAAACAAAGTCATCAAGGCGGACAGAAAAAGTCCTGTTTGTTAGATAGGACCTGAAGCACCCCAAAGCAGTACCCTTAATGCCAACAACATGTTCCAACCGGGAAAGTCGGATATTATGATCAATGGTATCAAAATTTTTTTTTATTCTCAAAGTGCCGGTAACCATTGACTTGCATTATATGAATCACCAAGGAGCACGGTTTCAGCTAAAAATCTTCTTTACTGTTCTACTTAAAAAATAAAAGTCACTGTCTATGTGTTTGCAGTTTTATTGGTGGCATCTCTACAGTAATAGGCCTGTGTGAGCAGCATGTGAGGATCATATGAAGCTGAAATCTCTCTGTTATGAGTAGATGCTGATGAGGAGGGGAGCGGTGCTGATGCTGCGGCTCTGGGCTCCGTCTCTCTCCCTGCGGTGGCGGTGGATCATCTGGTGGATGTGCTGCTGAGTGACTGGAACAGAGCAGCAGACATGCTGTTTAGTATCCACCCGATGGACGGATCACTGCTGGTGTGGCATGTCGACTGGCTGGACGAATACCAGCCCGGCATGTTCCGACAGGCGCAGGTACAGACGCAGATCCTGGGAGAGTTTGTGTTGCAGACGTGAGCGATTCCTCAAATTATGCCTAGAAACAACTCTGAACACGCTGTAACCACACATTTCTCCTTAGCAACCGCATGCAATCTGCCCGCATCCACTGCTGCAAAGATGACGAGTCAGTGTCGCCGACTTCATCTCTTAAACTGAAAACAAAGGGTGCTTTCACACTAGCACTTTTGGTGTGCACCCGGGTTCGATTGACGTCAGAGTACGGTTTGTTTGGATGATGTGAACGCTGTCTTCCGAATTCGGGTGCGCACCCACGAACCATACCCGAGTCCGCTTAAAAAGGGTGGTCTGGGGTACGGTTCAAGTGAACTCCGGTACGACCGCATGCAATTTGCCTATATGCTGGCAAAATGAGCAAATTTTCAAAAATGAGTTCTTTTTATTTTTATTCTACTTTCTCCATTTAAAATACCTTCAAAATGATACATGACTTGTTGAAATCGGACACTAAATGATTGAGCTACAGCCGTTTGAAGGCGATGGAGTCAGCAAGAGTTGATTTTGAGAAAAATAGAGTTAAAGATTCCAAAGCAAAATCACTTAGCAACGTTGCTTATTTTCCTCCAGTTCTTTTCTTAATAATAATTACTATATTATTAATAATCACAATATAGCTATGACATCAAAGCACCGCGAGAGCTACAGAGAGCAGATGGCTTCGCATGCTTTTGAATCACTCTCGCGGTAGTTTGATGTGCGATCGGTCTGCGCACCGCTGCTTCAAATTGAACACACCTCATCTCACAGCCGCTCCGTTTTGACGGCACACTTACGCTCACATCTGCATGTAAACATGTCGTCGGCGTGGAAGTTCTTCATTGTGAGTTAAACAGACACAAAGTTCGCAATTTGTAATACAATATTGACTCAATATTGCTCAAGTTCGCTGACGAAGTTTCAATCAAAGCCACAGCAGAACTGTTTTGTGTCCCCGAGCAACACAGCGGTGTTTCGATACTGAATGAATCCACGTTTTTGAACGAATCAAGTGAGTCAATGATTCAGTAACCCATTCATAAAGAGAGAAGTCACTCGTTTTTGAACGAATCAGCCGTTTGAATGAATGACTAATGACTCACTCATTAAAACAGTCCTTTACCGTCATCTATTGGTGGTTGTGTTTCATATTTAAAAGTGTTGCATTTTTCCCAACATTTTTAACTTGTATGTTCAAAAATATTTAAAACATTACTCTTATAAAATTATTTATGCATTTGAAATTTTGTGGTGTAAATGCATTTATGCACCTCAGCTTCATTAAACATTCTGTATAAATATGTCTAATGCCACTTCAGATGCAGCTTCTGTTTCCTCTGCAGTGTAAAGATGGAGTTTGTTGATAGTATGCGCACTCTAATGCGAACATTAAAATTTGCAAAAATAAATGACTCCACTGCTCACAAAGAGAAGTATGAACACCGGCGATGACAACAGAGTTGCACTGTCCAAAAAGTTTGTGGTATAAATGTGCTTTTTTTTACTTGAAGCATATGTTGTCTTTTTCCTTTATTTTGTCGTCAGAGTGCACCAGAACGCTTCATTTACATGTTAAACTCTCAAAAATTTTCTTCTGGCGGGGGATGCCCCCAGACCAAGGGTCATATTCCATACTATGTCACCTTTTTGACCTCTTGTCAGTTTGCAGGTATGCTCCTTACAGTTTTTCCCTGACACATTCATGATCATTATTTCTGCTGGTGTGCTGTGGCAAGCTTTATGCCTGCGCTTGAGCGCTTATTAGGCTATGTAGGCAATTAAAGGCGCATTATCATGATTTAAATGGGTTATTAAAAAACATGCGATTAGTCGACTAATGCTTCAAATGAACGGCCAGACAAATCTTTAGTCAAAGCAGTGTTAATTTTGACAGCAAATTTTGATTTAGTTTTAGTCATATTTTAGTCATCTGAATTGTTTTTAGTTTTAGTCTAGTTTTAGTCGACTAAATATCAGAAGATTTTCGTCGACTAAATCTACGTTAGATTTACATCGTAGTTTTTGTCATTCAAAAAGAGTTTTAGTTCGTTATTGTCTCGTTGTCGTCGGTGAAAAAAATGTTGTTGACGAAAATTGATGAAAATTATTAGTCAATGAAATTAGTCAAAGGCAGCCCTACTGATCTTTCATCTCTGAAGTGTTCTTTCTGTTCCCAGGTTTCCTTTGTGTCCAGGATTCCCGTGGCCTTCCCCACCGGCGACGCCAACTCTCTCAGCCGCAGCGTGGTCATGTACGCCTGCAACAGAAACGTGGACCTGGCCATGCAGCACGGCCGTCAGCGTCCCGCGGGCCTGCCGCACTCGTCCTCCTCCGCTCTGATCGGACAGAGCCAGAACAAACCCTCCTCCAGCAGCCTGCGTCTCAGCATCTTCACCCCCAGTGTCCTGATGATCTCCAAACACGCCGACGGCTCACTCAACCAGTGGGCCGTCAGCTTCGCCGAGGACTCGGCCTTCTCCACGGTGCTCAGCGTGTCTCATAAGTCACGGTACTGCGGTCATCGCTTCCACCTCAACGATCTGGCCTGCCACTCTCTGCTGCCGCTGCTGCTTACCACCTCGCACCACAACGCCCTGAGGACGCCCGCCGCCGCTCTGACCGCCCCGGCCCGCAGGAGCAGAGTCTCGCAGGACCCCAGCGCCATCTACAGCGAGCTGATCCTGTGGCGGGTGGATCCGGTGGGGCCGCTGTCGTTCTCTGGCGGCGTGTCGGAGCTGGCCAGGATCAACTCGCTGCACGCCTCCGCCTTCTCTAACGTGGCCTGGCTGCCCACGCTCATCCCCAGCAACTGCCTCGGTGAGGACCGCTTCCTTAGGTTCCTTAGGTTCTGACATAAAAGCAAAACTCACTGTGGAAACCAGGGGCCAGTTGTTCAAACGTAATCTGATCGGATTTTGGCCATTGTATTGGATCAAATCTTGAAAATAGGTTGTTCAAAGGAAAAAAAGGATTCTGAATTCGGATTAGATCACAAAATCCAATCTGGGTTTTGATCTGGATTAAATCCTCAATTCAAACATTTTAGTAAGATTGGGATACTTTTGATCCAAAAAAACTGGATTGTTCTGATCCCAGCAGAAGGGTGGATTTCAGGAACAAAAATGTAATAAAACTTTAAACCTGGTCCAAAAAATGCAACATTTGTAACGTAACATATCCCCATATCCCCAAACAGCTGTCAATATCAAACAAAAATATTATATTTAATTTAGTTTTCTTTTTTTCATCACTGATTGTAAACTACATTGGCACAATCATCAGAGATGGACCAGTCAGAAGTAGTTATGTGTGTAAATGCAATGCAAAACTAGATTGCAAAACATTGGCATTTTTTTCCATCAGCATGTCTCTTTAGGGGATTTGGAAATCTGGAAAAGTGTGTATCTGGATCAGGGTGATCCAATCCAATTTTGCTTTGAAAAACCGGCACTAAAGTAAGATGGGTCACCTGATCCTGGATCGCAAAAACATGGGATTTCCAAATCCAGATCATTCTGATCCAGATTAAACTTTTTGAACAACTGGCCCCAGGGTTCGTACGAGGTGCTTAAAGGGATCATCAGATGCCCATTTTCCACAAGTTGACATGCTTCTTTAGGGTCTTAATGAAAAGTCTATAACATACTTTGGTTAAAATTTCTCAATGGTAGTGTAAAACAACACCCTTTTTACCCTGACAAAAACAGCTCTGTTCACAGCAACCCGTTTCGGTGCATGTCCCTTTAAATGCTAATGAGCTCTGCTGACCCCGCCCCTCTCTTCCGTGGGGTGACGAGCTGTACTGTTAACTTTAGCCGCATTTAGCCGCGGAACTTGCTAACTAGAAAACCTAAAAACCCTTATTCTCTCTTCTGCTGTAAGTGAAGCTGGATCACGAATGATTTGCGCGAACATAGATGCATTTATGTAGATCGGGGGATCATTCCCTTCAAAAACAAACGTAATCCTTTGCATCTTCAGCGGCTCAGATGTCGGGAGTAGACTTGTGCCGGTATTCGGTAATGCGATATATCACGGTAATTAATATGCACGATATTGTTATCGTGGGCACTTCTAAATACCGTGAATAATTATATTTTACAAATTATTCAGAATTTTGAATGCATTTTAAGAATACTTTTCCCATAAACTGGTCAAAATGCACAACACCGCCGTATGCTGCATGAAAGATGCGTGCGCACTCTGATGTAAACAAGCGCGGACGAGAAGCACATGGCGGAACACGTGAGAGACGCTCTGGATGAAAGCGCACTTTCACTCTCTGACAGCAGATGGCGCTAAACTGCAGAAATAATAATAATAATAATGAATAATGTTCATCACAGCGCCAAATACTTAAATATTTAGACTTAATAGGCTATCCACTGCGTCTTCAGCGGCTCAGATGTCGGGAGTAAATGACGACTGCTATGTTCATTATTACATCCAACAACAGAACACCTCAATCGCTCAGGAGACATTCTGTTTACAGCTCACTCAGGGCGGGTCTAAGGTAAAACGGCAGTGTCAATCAACAATCGTGGGAGGGGCCTGGGTCTGGGTGACGTCACACAGCCAAGCATCTGAGATCGGCTTGATCTGAGAAAGGGGATATTATTTATTGGGATTTAAAAAAAAAAAAAAACACTGGGTGGATTTTTATGATTATAGGGTGGTTGTGTACACACCCCGTAAGACACATTTAT